TGTGGGACATTACATCCTCCCCCACTGGGAATACAGCGTCCCCGCTGTACACACCGGTCCAGGGCCAGGCTCTGATACCAAATGTAACAGCCCCAAACCCTGTAGCATGATATTGTCCGCTTTGCCCCGCGCACAAGCACCGTCGAGCTCACAGTTTTGTTTCTTGGGACACCCCACAAAAGGCCTCACGCTAGAAGAGGTATCCACACCCTTATAAGGCATGCTTCGTTCCCCTTTTGAGGTCACCACCCCAAAAGCTAGCTCAAAGGGTGGGAGTGCCCAAAGCCTTAAGTTGAGATATATAGTCCCACATTGGTTGTATGTGCAACTAATGTGGCCTTTATAAGGCTTTGGGCACTCCCACCCTTTGAGCTAGCTTTTGGGGTGGTGACCTCAAGGTTCTTTACACATGGTATCAGAGCCTCGCCGCTCCCCACTTTCTCTTGTGGCGTTTCTTAGCACAGGTAGGCTGGGCCTGTTGCATTGTCCACTCTTCAAGCCCAATGGGCTCTTGTGTGAGGGGGCGTGTTGAGATATATAGTCCCACATTGGTTCTATGTGTAACTAATGTGGCCTTTATAAGACTTTGGGCACTCCCACCCTTTAAGCTTGCTTTTGGGGTGGTGACCTCAAGGTTCTTTACAAGGTGTATTAAAAATTTGATTTATTTTAAAACAAGGCTAGGTGAGAAACCACTGTTTTAGAACCAAGAAGGTGCATGTGCTAAGGTTATGATATGAACAAAGAGGAGTAATTCTGGGTACCAAAAAAGAAAAGAAAAGAAAGAGGAGTAATTCTAAGTTAACCAGTGAAACCGTGGAAGTCTAGCCTATATAGTAAATCAAGCTTGATCAGTTTTATGAATTTTAATTCATTGCACACTTTAGGTATCTTGGATCTATCTCATCATGGGATAGGAGAATGTCACACATAGGATTCAATCTGAGTGGAAGCATTCTATATTATGCATGGATTGAAGACTAAAATTGACATCATGAATGTAGTCAATTTACCAACCCATATAGCTCCCAACGAGCCCAATTAATCCTTTTGAATCCTTTTTTTTTTTTTTAGTACAAAATCCTTTTGAATCCTTTATGAAAGAAGAACTAAGAAATGATACTTTATATATATTTACAGAAGGCAATATCCATACATAAATTACTGACTTGAATGTGAAAATATTTATTAATATTTGTAGTTTACTATAAGAATCTTAATGTCTTTCCCATCAACTTCAAACCACATTTGCCATAGCAAGTCAGCACAGGTTCTGTCCATTATATTTCTTGCTCCTTAGGCACGTAGCAATTGATTCCCATACAGTTAACAGAATTAGCATCAGAAATCACAAAGCCCCAAAAGTAGATGTCAAGAAACAAGAAGGCTTTGCATGGACTGCACAAGTTAAATATCCGGGATAGGGTCTTTAATAAAAAGGTTTTATTAATCTCATGTTAAAGGAGATAGTTATCTCATGTCATAGAGATAAATTAGTGGGCTCCATCACCTGAAAAAAATAAAAAAATAAAAGAAAAAAGTGGCACAGTTATCGAAGAGTGTGTAGGAGAGAAAACTTATGTCATGTGACATAAGAATAGTTTTTCCATTAATAAAAACGACCAGAATGTGGCAGTAAATATGTATAACTTGTTGACTTGTCCGTAGGCATATTACCAGCCAACCATCCACTCATCTTCATCGCAGTCTCTCCTGATTAAAATTAACAGGCACCACAAACAATTTTAAAGTAATTATTCTCAATAGGCCTCTATTTTCAATCATCTCCATCCCCAAGAAGAAGGGCTATTAAGAATAACAAGCCTTTTGGCATCTAGAAACAACAGAACTGTTATCAAATATTGCCCGGCCTTTTAAAAGTATAGTCTAAAACTGTGTATTGATAGCTTAAACAATTGACATGGTAAAGTACCCAAAAGAAAAGTACCTAAAAAAGACAATTCACCTGGTCTACAATGAATAAATATTTTACATTGATAAAACACCAGGATTTATCTTGAGTAACATGAATTTCATACGCAACCTTTGCACCATATCCAATGCTTACAAAAGCAGTTGTCATATGTCAGTAATTCTTAAGAAACAATCCCAGATAATTCTTAAGAATTTCTTCTGTAATTTTAACTTGTGATTTTGCATTGTAACTGCAGCATTGCAAATATCATGCAAAAACATGGTCAAGCCATCCTGTATTCCTGTCCATCAAGTGTAAAGAAGCCCTCTTTCCCAATGTGGACAAATCATTTCCAATGTCTAGAGGAAGAACTGCAACAGGTTTAGGAAACACAAAATTGTTTCTTTATAGTTCCTATAGTGCCTAGGACCCATGCAACAGTGCCATCTAATCCAATCTAGGACCTTTTTACTTTTTGGTTATAGGTATTTAGGAGCTGCTAATTCTTAGTTCAGCTAGGTTCCAGAGTAACGACCATAGGTGCTATGTGGGCATGTGTCCACCTCAGGACCTTGATAAACGCTCTATTCAAAGATATACAGTAAAATAGCCAAATCAGCCATTGTCCATTGCAACCAACCATGACATGAAACTAGAAAAAAGAAAATCCAATCTATATTCAGATTCCAAACACGCATTGCTAAAATCATTTTCATCTATAATTTGCTCTTCAGAATGCTATTTAAGTGGGATATAGTGGAACATTAAGCTGTAAGATCACACAGAGATCCACTATAATGAAAGGAGGGAAAATTACAAACATATCAACAGAAAGTCCTATTTAATGAGAAAATTGGAAGATTAAAATAAAAAAAGCGAGCACAATATGTTGTGTTTCTCATGTTGCAAGGTATTAAGAATAAAGCACAACCAAGCTTAAGGAATTTTAACCACAAAAGAACCTGGTATCTTTATGATTCTGACCTGTAGTGTGGAATCCTTTCCTTTGGTGGAATCAGAGAACAATTAAACAGAGCTATTACACCACGAACTGACCACTTCATACATGACAATTGAGAATTGTACCACCTATGACCTAACCAAACCACAGATTCTAAGTACCAACATTCAACTCAAATGAGCCTTAGGAATGGATCAATCCTATGATGTAGATATCATTTACCAAAAGAAGTATATATGTTAATTAAGAGTTAGATTGTTGAGTTGCATATTGAATCTATATGCAACACAACATTTACGTGAAAAAAAAGATAAAAAATCAAAATCAAAATCTTTGGTTAAAATAATAAAAAGAGGAGAAAGAAAAACTTGAATGAAGGACTTGATGTGTGTAGATAAAGAGGGGCAGTGTAGAAGAATTGAGAGTTTGTTTAGAGCTCAAGAGGGAGATTAGACTTCTCCATTGTCCTGTTAGATTGCGATACTCCGGTGGAAAATTTAATGGTATAAAAATATATAATAGTTATTATATGTGTAAAGTGCTATTTATACTTCAGAAGATATTTTTATATAATATTACATGTTTCTGGGTTAAACTTGAATATGTAATCAAATTAAAAGAACTGAACAAAAGAATATGAGTTTGGATTAGCGTTTTTCATTTAAAAAAAAAAACATATAATTAAAATATTAACACAATAGCTTTTCAAGAGTGTTTTTTTAAAAACAAAATTAATCAAAATCAAACATAGACTTCCATTTTTTTTTTCCAACGATGACATAAGAAATATATTTCTCTCCTATTTATATATATATACACACTCTTGAGACCCTATTAATTAGGATTTAGAGAGAATTTCACTATTAAAATGATGTTTAAAAACTTAACAAAAGAAAAAAAAGGACGAAAGCAAAAAATAAAAAGAATAATGCATCATGAAGCCCAAAAAAGTCAATCTGATATAGAATAGTATTACAGCAAGTCATGTACGGCAGATGTTTTTAAATTTAGATAAAATATAATTATAAAAAATAAAAAATAAATTGAGTTGAATTTGAAATATAAATTAAAAGAATTTTAAATTTTAATAAAATTAAGAATCATATATATAATTTTTTTTTTAAAAAAAAATCCTAAACTGAAAAATTAAATTATTTTAAAAAACTATACTCTAATTTAATACATGACAATTGAAACAACAATATTTCTGCATTCTGAAAAGAAGAAAGTGAATTATTGCCCATACATGTCCAAGCACGGTACTAGTAGGGGATAATTTCGCGTAAATTTTTTTTTTGCCCTAAAATTATAATTTTTAAAAATATAATGGAAAAGTCACTCTTTTCGTAATGTTCTCAAAATATTATTTTATAAGTTAAAATATTATTGATAATTTATCTTAAAAAAAATGTAAATTTTTTTCCAACACCTGAAATTCTAAGAATATCAGGCTTTGATGATATTTTTAAATGATAATTTTAAAAAATATTATACATGAAATAAAATTTCAAAAAAATCATGGGTCTGTTTGATTGTGTTTTGATTTTTTTGTTCTTAAAACTGTTTTGTAGAATAATTATGGAAACAGTTGTTTTCTATATTTTTTTATTTTAAAAGTTAAAAACCAAAACAGAAAACAAAAACAACTCAGACATGTTCTCTAAATTTAATTCTAAAAACAAAAAAACAGTTACAGATTTTAAAACTTTTTTTTATAAAACAGACCTTACCAAACGAGTTTTTTTGTTTTTGTTTTTTTAAAAACTAAAAAATTGTTTTTGAAAACAATAATCAAATAGAGCCCATATTTTCAATTTTTTGTTTTTTGGGAAACCTTGTATCAAGGATGAGCAAATAAAATTATCACTGTAGATACCAAAAAAAAAATTTATCACTGTCACCTTTCCAAAATCTCAAAAGACTCCTCTAGCAAAGTAAATGACCAAAACAACCGTACCAGCTTGGATGGTGTTTGAACCACGAATTGATGAGCACCACAAAACAACATAATCAAAAATTGGTGGCCACGATATTTTCAAAAAAAAAAAAAAAAATTGGTGGCCACGATGAGCGGAACTGAACTAAACTGTCATTGCTGTCTTCCATGTAGATGTAAAGAAACCACACAATGGAACACTTATTCGGTTTGTCCCATGAGTCATGATCACTTCCTCCTCTCGTTGCTGCACCAGCAACCTTGGACATGGACTTGAAGCTCACTCTCTACGGTTCCATTCCAAACCAGTTAGGACAAGGCTTCTATTTCTCAGAGTCCAATTTCAGGGCATTGCACTTTCCTCAATCAGAACCACCCCTTCTAAACCCACTTGCCACTTCAACACTTACAACGCCAAAGATGGAAACTTTAGGCAAGAAGATGAAGAGGGTGAACGTGAGGTGCATTGTGAGGTTCAAGTAATATCGTGGAGGGAACGCAGAGTTAATGGCCAAATCTACGTCAATGCTGACACTGAATCCCTTTGGAACGCTCTCACAGATTATGAACATCTCGCTGATTTCATACCCAATCTTGTGTCCAGGTAATGCTAATAATGCAGATGCTGCTATTCATATTCAAGTTTAACATCAAAACAAAAATAAAAACAAGAGTGAATTGTTCTAAATATCAGTTTTTGAACCTTTTGTTGTTGTTGTTGTTGTTGTTGTTGTTGTTGTTGTTGTTGTTGTTATTGTCAGTGGGCGAATTCCTTGTCCATATCCCGGAAGGATATGGTTAGAGCAAAGGGGTTTCCAAAGGGCAATGTATTGGCATATAGAAGCTCGTGTTGTGTTGGATCTTCAAGAATTCATCAATTCAGTAAGCTTCCTTAAACACTTGTTGCAGTTGTTAATTGCTTGTTTGATTCTAGTTATTCAACCTACATCATATAGTAAGTAATGAATGCTTTTGAAATGAGCACTGTAGCCAGCCATTAGCCGTACTTGATTGGAAGGAAACCTGAAACTTGAATATTTCTAACTCCAACACATGTTCTCTTGTACAATTTGCCACATGATCCATATACAAGACCATATACGATGAATAGTTTCCATTAACAGTGGATGTGTATTATTTGATATATAGATTAGTCAGTCAATAGAAAAGTCCAGAAGAGAGAATTATCTGTTAAATCAATGCTACTTATATTCCTTTTAATGCTTCAGGCATGGGATCGAGAACTTCACTTTTCCATGGTTGATGGGGACTTTAAGAAGTTCGATGGCAAATGGTCCGTAAAATCTGGAACAAGGTAAAATTTATTTCTCAAAGCCAATATTTGCAAACCATCTTTGCATCAATCTAAAGAAACTATATTCTAATTTTTATTTCACTACTAATCGTACTCTTCCCTCAATCTAATGGCATGTGTGTATGTGCAATGTATCATATGAATCTTAAAGTTTGAATTCTTGGATGAAGTTCTGATTAATGAAGAGGCTTCATTTTTATTAGGCCTTTTTCTGGAGATCTCTCCGTTTGATACCATAAATTAAAATTTGCTGGACTTCCTTTGAGAAACAAGGAAGTTCAGATAATAATTCATCTGAATACATCATCATCTCAATATGTTTTGAGTATGTTCTTCATTTGTATGACTCAAAATGCATTGAAGTATACCGTATGACATCTTCTAACATTTTATGCGAGAAAGAAAATGAAAAATAACTTGGCTAACTTACCATATGTAATGATACACCCAACAAGACAATTAAGCTTTGCCATTCTTCACCCATGGGTTTAATGTTCCAATTCAAGTGGGTTTTTACGGGTAGTATCTTCATTTTACATTCAATGGACTGTGCTTATTGACATTAGTCACATTACCAGTTTACTTTTCTACTTTATACATCAATTATGGTTTATGCAGATCGTCAACAGCTATTTTATCTTATGAAGTTAACGTGATACCGAGATTGAACTTCCCAGCTATTTTCTTGGAAAGGATTATCAGATCTGATCTTCCTGTGAACCTTCGAGCTTTGGCTTACAGAGCTGAAAGGATTTTTGCGGGAAATCATAAACTTCCACTGCCAGAAAATCACTTGTACAAAACTTCTGTGGCTATTAATGGGTTACCTGTCAAAATAATAAATGGTTCTTTGTGCGAAAGTGATAAGTTGCCTCCTGCAGAGAGCAAAAATGAATTTGCCAGCTCAGTTTCTGGTTCCATGCCCACATCTTCCAGTGAGGTGAGCAGCAACTGGGGTGTATTTGGAAAAGTTTGCAGACTTGACAGACGTTGCATGGTGGATGAAGTTCATCTCCGCAGATTTGATGGACTTCTGGTAATTATTGATATTAATTATTATGAAGTGATCTTAATTCTGACAATGAACTATCCGTATAGTCAAAGTTACTTACAAAGTGATTCTGATGCGCAGGAAAATGGAGGTGTTCATCGCTGTGTTGTTGCAAGCATAACAGTGAAAGCTCCTGTACATTTAGTATGGAACATTATGACTGCCTATGAGACTCTTCCTGAGTAAGTCATTTATGCTGTTTCTTTACACTAGTTGTATTAGAAGCACACATTGAAAGATTTACTGACCTAATGTTTCATTTTCCTAACTTGATTCCACATCATTTGTTGTAGGGTAGTTCCAAATTTAGCAATCAGTAAGATTTTATCACGAGATAACAATAAAGTCCGCATTCTTCAGGTATGGGGTAATGTTAATGAAGTATAGTCTTAAAAGAGAACTCATAGGTGTTTATATCCTATTTTGTTTCCTGGCCACTGCATTACGCTTAACGGCCAGTGTTATACCATCAATATCCACTCTTAAACACACGCATGAACCCCTTAAAACAAACACTGGTACAGCCTGGACATGCACTACAGATGTGTCTATAAATTATGTGATTTCCTTGTTTAATCGACATGCAGGAGGGGTGTAAAGGCCTTCTTTATATGGTGCTCCATGCTCGTGTTGTGTTAGACTTGTGTGAACATCTAGAACAGGAGATCAGTTTTGAACAGGTTGAAGGGGACTTCGATTCATTCCAGGGAAAATGGATTTTTGAGCAATTAGGAAATCATCACACACTGCTAAAGTATTCTGTGGAGTCAAAAATGCGGAAAGATACTTTCCTTTCTGAAGCCATCATGGAGGAGGTTTGTCTATTAATTGACTCATCTATATGATTTCAGATTGGTTTAAAAATTTGCCTAGATTACTTTCCAATAGTGTAATTCCCTCATTTTAACTTAGCTCCTGCTCAACGTAGTCAAAGAAACTCAGTTAACTAAAACACACAATTACAGTGTATATTCTGCCTATAGAAGTGGAAGCCAGATACATTCTTTTATTCATGTCTTTTTCATTTTTTAAGAAAATCTTTTTACTCTCGTTAGGATTAGATACAATCTTTTGAAGTTCAATCCATCCAATTTTATCACCAAACGACAAAACTATGAGCCAATCTACTCAGTATTTGAACCCTGAAATATTCTGAGTTCTTTGCATAATATCATTTCAGGTCATTTATGAAGATCTTCCATCAAACTTGGCTGCAATAAGAGACTATGTTGAGAACAGGAATGCATCAAAATCTTCAGTAATTTTTGAGCAGAATACTAATTCAGGGCGAAAAATTGTTTCATCTGGCTTTCAAAAAGTCGATGACTTTGGTTCAGCTGAGGGAGTTTCTAATTGCAATGATCGATGTGAATCTCAACAAAGGTCTAAAGTTCCAGGCTTACAGAGGAATATTGAAGTACTAAAATCTGAACTCCTGAAATTCGTTGCAGAGCATGGTCAGGAAGGATTTATGCCAATGAGGAAGCAACTTCGTTTGCATGGAAGAGTGGATATTGAGAAGGCTATAACTCGCATGGGTGGATTCAGAAAGATTGCAACCATATTGAACCTTTCTCTGGCTTACAAACACCGCAAACCGAAGGGTTACTGGGACAATCTTGAGAATTTGCAGGAGGAGGTAGGCTGCAAAAGTTCCAATCTAGTTACCAGAATGCCTCATGCTTTTCCTATCTCAAATATTTTCATTTTCTTCTTTACTTTGTGTTGAGATATAAAAACTATTAAAAAGTCTTCACCCACTAGCTTAAGCTTTTGGGTCGAATTTGTTCTTTACATAGTATCAGAGCCTCAATGTACCGGGTTCAATCCTCACCGTCTCCCACTTTCTTTCTAGCAGAATTTTTTTGTTCGCATAGGTAGGTGGGCCTGTGCATTGTCCACCCTTCAAACCCAGTGGACTCTCGTGTGAGGGGGCGTGTTGAGATATATAAAAACTATTAAAAAGTCCTCACCCACCAGCTTAAACTTTTGGATTGAATTGGTTCTTTACATTTTTTACCACCTGCCACTTTTCTACTCGTGTTGATCTCATGGGAGAAAAGCTAATGTTTAAATGACAATGACATAATAAAGGATAAGTCATGTTTGAAATCTTAAAATCTTTTGAGCTAATTGTCATATACATGACATTATTTAAATCTTAGATCATAATGAAATTCATTTCTTCATGCAGATAAGTCGATTTCAAAGGAGCTGGGGAATAGACCCTTCATTTATGCCCAGTAGAAAGTCATTTGAACGTGCAGGTAGGTGGATATATTCTGGATCTCAACTTTGATTGATTCTATTGCTTGCAATAAACTAAAGCTTTACTTGCTTTCAAGTCTATGGAAGAAAGACTTCTTAAGCATGTAACATCAATATTATCAAAACTAATGCCACTGGATCATTAACTTCTCCCTGCAATCATTTTTAACTTAGTGCCAATGGAATTTCCCACAGGGCGCTATGATATTGCGCGAGCACTGGAAAAGTGGGGTGGACTACATGAGGTTTCTCGCCTTCTGTCCCTCAAGGTAAGACAACGAAGCAGACAGAACACACATTCCAAGGATAAGAGAATCGATCATATAGCATCACCTGATGTTGATGGTGAGATCAAGACACCATCTAAACCATGTATTTCCCAAGATGCACAAAAGTGGCTTACAAAACTACAACAGTTGGACATACATTGGTTTGAGTAACAGTGGGATGAGGTATTGGTTTAAGTACACACGTGTGCTCATAGTTCCATGATTCTCCTATAATCTCCATCATGCAATTCACGTTGGCCTTTTCTTGGTTTCTTTCACATGCCCGTCTAAATTGGCTTTGAGGGAAGTAGTTGTAAATAGTAGCATTCATTTCACAGCAGCTTAGGTTTCAGCTCCTCAAAGTTGCTGAAATGCACTTGGTTTCTACTAATGAAAGATTATTTGTGTGGATTGATCCTTCAATGTAAGTGAAAAATTATAGTTGGGTTTGGGGAGGAGAAAGGTGGCTTGGTGGAGCTTGGAACCTCCACTATCAACATCACACTTCATTCTTAAGACTTTAGGCCAATGACAATGGAGCTGCAAGCTCAACTATTCCATTCTTGTATTTTCTTTTTAATGTATAAAAGGAATGTATATAATACTACCCAAACACGAATTTAGCAACAGCAACTTATATGTACAACTTGAAAATGCAAACTTTTAGACTTTTAGTATGTAATTGATAGTACATATATACAGTTTAAAGAGATAAGGAGCTACAAATTTTTATGATATGTAGTATTATACTGCTTTACAAAATTCTGGATAATATTATTATATACAATATATTATCTTATACAATATAATGACAAATGCTGGATAATAAAATCTAATCAGATCTTATATAATTAGGCTTTATATTATTAAGTCTTATATTATTAGGTATTATTCTATATTGTACATCAAACATGTCCTTAATATAAAAAGATCTTAATATTTTAAAGTGAATTGTTGTGAAGTTTTAGAATCTCAACCCCACGGGGCAACATCACTGCCATCCATTGAGGAGATGGGACTCCTATAAATTGGTGAGGCCGTTCTAGACCAAATAAAAAAAAACACATGTCATTTCTGGTATGATTTTATTTTTCTCATTATTATTGTTAGTATAAACAAGAAAGAAAAAGAAAAAGAAAACATTTTTTTTCAGTTAATATATGTTTATGGAAAAAATGTTTCACAACAGATAAAGATATTTTCTACAAACCTATAACTACGTCGTTTTAAGAATTGAGGGAATTAATGAAAAATATTTTGATAAAATTTATATAATAAAAAATAAATAAAATTATCAAAACATCCTTTATTATTAATAATTAAAAAAATTTATATTTCTCTTGTATTAAAGGAAATAAAAGTATTTCATGTTATCCAAACACTACAATGATTTTGCTATCTAATCGCAAACTCTCATGTCCACATTATTTCTTCCATTTATATGGCGGAGGAAAGTTGTTGAAATTTTGTGCTTAGGAGGTAGAATAGTAATCTTAGTCACGAGAGATTTGCATGCACAGTTGTTATTCTGGTTGCTGCATAGAAAAGTTGAGTAAGTACTAGCAATGAGTTGGCCTCTTTTGATCCACAATTAATTTTTTATATTATCATATAATCATGTCTTTAAAAGAGTTTTACCTCTCTTGTACACTAGTTTAATATTGTCTCTCTTTCTATATAAGCAATATACCTTTTACTTTATTTGGATTTGTTTTCACCTTTTCTATTAGGTAGTGTTTGGTTGGGGAGAAGTTAAAATTTTGGTGGGTAAGTGCATGTGGGAATCTGACTCAACCACGTTTAGTTGAAGCTTTTTGGAAAATTTCCCTAACAAACAGGTTTCCCCAGCAATGCAAGAAGTAGTGCAAAAATTGGATATTGACACTGTTGAAGAATCCATTTCAACAGGTGGTATTGGTTGAGGGTATCGGATAAGTGAAAATGGTTGAAAATGGCATGACAAATATACCCGCTCTTTCTTAACCACACGTTGAAAATGGCACGCCAGCACTGAACTGGTTTGGTTCATCAGAAATGTTAAAGAACCCAAAGGCAAAATCACCATTGGAGGAAACCCAACAGTTATTGTCAACCACAGAAAGTTTGGAACTCAAAGGTATCAAAGCTGTCACAACAGGAATGTTCAACTTGAATGGATCAAATTGAAATTTTCTTCCTTTTTTATTTAGTTAAAACTTTTCATAGAACCAAACAACTTAGCTGAAAAGGGACTGGACTTAAAAGAGAAGAGAGTGAGTTGAACAGTGAGGAATGAACAACACAATTGTTAAGTGGATGATTGGTTGGGAAAGGACATGAAGTTGAAGAGTATGAGTAACTGAAAGGTTTGGGTGGAAGTGAGTGAAAATGGGGTTGCTTTGAGGATGCTGCAAGTAGCAATTCAAAGAAGAAAGCGAGTGAAAATGTTTAATTTTATAAAAAGGTTAATTTCGTCTTTTGCATTTTTTTCCCATCACAATTTTATTTTCAACCAAACACACATCAGGATTTTTAACCCAATTTTCTTAGTAATATTTTGCGCTACCAAACAACTTTTTTTAAACTTTCCTACCAAACTAACTTTCCAACGTCTTTCCTAGTAAAGACAATTACCCACTTTAAAAAAATTTCTCCTCAACCAAACACTACCTTAACAAACGATTGTCAATCAGTAAGACTATGGGAACAATATATTGATAGTTGAGAATTGAAAAGTACATAGATATGATATTTGTGCTTTATGAAGGCTACTGTTGATACTTATGTTAAAATTACATTTGTAGGTAGATTGTGACTAATTCAAGTCGTTCAAGTACATTAGCTGCTATTGATACAGCTTCTCCTACAATAAGGCGCATAGAAAGAGCAATTATAGGTATGGTATTATAGCTTTTCTTTTTCCTTCTTTACTTTTCTTTTTTTTATCCCAAATCTGATTGTGTACAATATATATAAATTGCGTAGCTCCTTATCAAATTCAAAGAGACACTTCTGGTGTCAAAATGGTTCTCGGTGGTGCTGCTTAAATTATTGATATCTCTATCTATGCATCACTCCCAAATAACAACTATTAAGGGCCACATGAGTGGAAGTTTAGTATTTTTTGATGACATTGTTGATTTGGAGAAAGACAATGATGAATTTGGAGAAGATGATCAGTGTGAAATCATGAAAGACAAAGATGGTAATTGTGAGAAAGATAATGTACAAGAAATTGTGGGAGATAATGATAATGGATTCAGTGAGACCCCTATTTTAGGTAGAGTTTTTAAGACATCAGATGAAGCTTATTGTTTTTATAATGACTATGTCGAAGGTAAAGGATTTAGAATACGTAAGCAGTACTTTAACAAGAATGCAAAGACACAATAACCAATACTTGCATGTAGAAGCTCTAAAAGGTTTGGAAATTGCCTGGAAGATGGGGTTCTGCAAAGTTGAACTAGAAGAAGATGCTTTAGAAGTTATTGTGATACTTGTGTAGAAGCAATGCAGCTTGTCTACCACATATTGTGGCAAGAGTACAAGCTCTTATTGACCAAGACTGGATAGTGGCTCTAAAGCACACCTCTAGAGAAGCAAATGGTCGTGCTGATTGGCTAGCCAAGTCCTCCATACATTGTACTTTCGATCTCCAATACTACCGGATTATGCCTGCAGACTCGATACCCTTATTTAATTTAGACCTCCAGGGAACAACCCAACGCGTAGTTGTTGACCCTGGCTAGTTTGAGTTTTTAGTCTTCTGCTTGTCTTAGTGTTTTGGTTTCTCTTGGGGCTTTGCGCCTTTCTGATAAAAAAAAATGACACAACAACCACATAGGTGGAATTATGTGTGCTCAAAGCAAAATGTCAAGAGACTAAACAATAAAAGAATTGATGTTTATAATGTCAAAAGACGAAGGGATTCAAGGACTAATTGATCAGCGATGTTACAAATAAAGTTAGTAGATGAATCATGGATCATGGAGAAGTTCAACGATACACACAATCATCCATTGATTAGCACTCCTTCTAAGGTGAAGAAGTTTCCTTCTTATAATGATTTGTGATGCTCAGAGTTTACTAAATCTATTGTTTCCAAGCTTTATCAAGAGGGTTTAACGTCTTCAAAAATCTCAAAGGTGGTGAATGCTATGAACAAAGAAGTTAATATTACCTTTGTTCAAATTAGCACTATTATATCAGGCCAGATAAAGAATAATGTAGGGCGAAAATGTCACGACATCATCAAACACATTCAAATGAAGTCCGCTCTTAATGGAGCTTTTTATTTTGATATGCATCTAGCAAAAGATGGTACATTAAGAAGTGTCTTTTGGGAGGATGGTAGGTCGAGAGCTACGTATACTCAATTTGGTGAAGTCCTTGTGTTTGATATGACTTACAAAAAAAACAAGTTTAAGTTTTATTTTGCCTCTTTTGTGGAGGATAATTACCATGAGCAGTCAATTTTATTTGCTGATGCTTTGTTAGAAGATGAAACAGAGACAACATTTACATGGTTGTTTGAACAGTTTCGGACATGTATGTTTCATAAGTCTCCTATTGCTATAATCACTGCTCAAGACAAAGCTATGGGAAAAGCAATTGTCAAGATATTTCCAGAAGCATGACATCGTTTTTGCGTATGGAACATTAAAAAACATGTTATGAAGCATAGTCAAGTGCTAAGCACAAAATTTAAAGATAGTTTTTTTTTTTTTTTGTAAATAATTTAAAGATAGTTTTGATGTTAACTTTCGTGAGTGGTATAAAAGTCGAGACATCGATGAGTTTGAAGGCAAGTGGGAAGCATTGAAGACTAAATATGATATTGAAGCAAGTAGTTGGTTGGCTAACATGTATGCTTCACGTCATTATTGGGCAAAGGCATACTTGAAAGATATTTTTTTTGCCAGAATGACCACGAGTGGCTTAAGTGAGAGCATCAATGCATTTTTTTATGGATATGTCAACTCTAATATGACATTAAATGATTTTATTACTAATATGACAAAAAAATCAAGTCTAGGAGGGATGCAGAAGAAGATGAGGATTTCAAAACTAGAAATACAAAAGCAAATTTGAAGACTTATCATCCAATTAAAGCAATAGTTGGAGAGCGCAACACAAAAAAATTATTTGAGATCTTTATAAGGGAGTGGGAGGCTGCCTTACATGATTACTTTCATGAAAAGATTTTAACAAAATGAAAATCTTATCAGTTACAAGGTAGGGTCTCTTGAAGTTGATAAAAAGTGGTGGGTAATTGTCGACTACCATTTGACAGAAACCTTCACAACTCATTGTTCATGTGCAAAATTTGAGACTGGGGATTTTGTGCAGACATATTTTATACATCATGAAGAAGAAACAAATAATGATCATTTTTGAAAAATGTAATTTGTCTAGATGGACAATGAATGTAAGCTATAAGCCTGAAAATCTTGTAGATGTTCATGTTGAAACAACTATTAATGAAGTTAGTGCATTGTCTTTGTGGTTAGTTCATTCCAAATTCACTATGACTATTTCTGAAGCAAGAAATTCTATTTCTGGGATTGGAAGACTTGTCATTATGGTTGCTGAATTTTTACAACAACAATTAGAAAGAAAGAGAAAGCGAATTGAAGATGAATCAATTCCCCAAACTGTTCTTTCACCAATTCCAGGTATTATTTCTCAAGTTTCACTCATTAATAATGTGTGTGATCCCACTCAACTAGTCAAA